GAAGGCTGCTAGTTCAGCTGTTACTCGGATCCTTATCAAAAGACAATGCATATATAAAGTATTTATTTAACCCTTTAAATCCTGTGTCTCCAATGTACAACATTATGCATTTATTGGTTTTAACCAGTGAAAAACACAATTTTGTTTTGAACTTTGAAATCTGACTTGCAACTAAGTGGACTCCAAGTGACTCCAATCACCAGGTAACAAAACAGGAAGTAAGAACGTGTGTCTCAATTTATAGATTTTAAAACATCTATATATGAAAATTAATAAAGAATACATGGTATCATTTGATTACTGGCAAGTAGCTTAGGCTGATAACTTGTATGATATATAATACTTTAGTTTAGATCCATTGATCAGCTCCATTTGTTGAATGAAGACTGTGAGATTCAGCTGAAAGTTAGTAAGTGGACCTTTAAAATAAGACCATTTTGTTACTGTTACACATGTTTCAGTTTAGTCTAGTCTTGTTTACTTCATTAAGATGTATTTTATTCACTTTTATTTTGTTTAGTGTAAACCGATCGTATCCTCTACTGAGCCAACACCAATATTTACTATATTATTCACTCTGCTATAAGATACTATAGTAGGAAACTTTACAAACATAACAAAGCATTGTCTAATGAAAAGCATGTACGTCCAAATTGGATGATTTTGACATTTAAAAACAACCCATTATATTAGCTGATGTATTGTCACAAAGCTGAAAATGAAAAATAAGGCTTTTTTTCTTTGCAAATGAAATAATGACATTTCCATGACACATGCTTTTCACAGGACAGTCATTAGTACTACTCTCACAGCCACCCCACTCTGCTCTCTTCCTACATGTGAAGTTGAATTTCGAGAGGTGAGAACCAAAAATGTGTTATATATATCAAATGAAAGCTCTTGGTGAGCTCCTTCTACTGTTTATGAAGTTTTGATGTTAAAGATTAAATCTAATAAACAAAGTGAGGACAAAGTATGGTCCTTTTCTGTGTTGGCTCTCCTGTAAAGTTGGTCAAATGTCACTTAGACCCGTCTGGTTCTCACGCCTCGATGTTTCATTTTAAAGGACCAGTGTTTAGGTATTTTTATTCATTTTGTGGTGAACTTTGAACACACACATATGAATATCATATTCCATTTCTGCCAATATATCCTCCGAAACAAAGGTCGGACTCTTTCTTTCTTCAGCTTCCACGCCGTGCTCAATCTTCTCACTCTGTCTTTCATTCCTCTTTGGATTTTGGCCCTTTAAAGCCTTTTACCAACAGACAATAAATTACATCTGAGAACTCCTCCAGCAAGCACGCTGAACCACAATAAAAAGAGGTGAATAAAGGACGGCGGGTCCTAATTTCCCAAATGGAGTGACTGTGACTTATCAGAGACAGCATCTTCAGGGCAGACCCGGGGCAAATGAAGGCAAGGTGTGATTGAGCCGGGTTTAGATTACAGGCCGATGTCTGCGGCGCTGAGGCCGTACGGTAATCTCTTATGACTGATTGGCTGTAACCAGGAGTGACAACTAAACTGATGCTATCTCAGTGTTTCTACCGAGGCGGCATCGAGACAGGAGGGGCCGGGGTCGGTTACTGTTTTCAGATGTTGTGCTCTGGCTGAGGAACAGGTGACAGAGTGCGTCTCTATGGGGGAAACAAGGGATTTCCTTCCGCTTGACTCATGGGTAGCAACAACAACCCACGCAAAAACATGAATATGAAACTGCACACAAGAACACACTTGCTGTCACTGTCTCTTCCTCTCTCTCTCTCTCTCTCTCTCTCTCTCACACACACATACACACAAACACAGGAATCTCACTTGTCAGCAGAGTGGAAACATCATTTAGACCATCGGACACTAAAACAGAAACCAAAACAAATGAAACTTTTAGTTTGTTGGCAGCATCCTAAGGCAGGGTGACCCGTTCTGCCTGTAATTAGAAGGGAAACTCTTACACACAAACATGCAAACACACAACATGTCAGTGCTCACATGCTCTGTTGCCGCAGCTCTTGTGAACGGTATTTTCTGAGTGTGCTTTATTGGAAAATTTGCAGGAAAATTGTCCATTGGTAAAAAAAATTTAATGCTTAAGCTCTTGATGGCAAAGAAATCCACCACTGTGGATTTATGAGTTTGGTCGTTAAAAACGTTTCTCAGAGCTCTGCTTTGGCATGAGTGAAATAACAATAAAAGCATATTGAGTTTCATCAGTTGCACGTGAGGATGGTGAAAGCAGAGATGAGTTGCATGGTTTTTTTATATGCAAATTAGTTGTTTTGCTTTCTTATACTGTATCTTATTATATCAATGATGCCATTTCACCCCGGAGATTAACGATGTCTCTACTTGTCTACTGAATCTATTTGCCTTTCTATTTATACAGAGAGCAGCTGTAAAGAAGACCCGGTATGATCCGTGGGGAGCCCACAGCTCGCAGAGTTAATGAACTGAGGGCTGGTGGCACAGAGGCAACTTGGATTGAGAGGTGGAAGGATGGAGGGAAGCAGAGGGAGGGCAGTGTTGTGGAAGCCTGGCTTAAGGGTGTTTCCATGGTAGGATTGCCCAGGAATCTGATGCTGGTGCCAGACGCGGGGAAACCCTCATCAAAAACAAGGGAGCACACCCATCAACACCAGTCCAGATCCTGCACATGGCCCTAAAGGGAGCCGGATTCAGAGCTCAGACCAGCGGTCTGTTGACACGTTGTATCTGGTCATTTGTTGTTGACGGTTCAATTCTTTTCCTGGAGCTTTAGTTCATTTCTTTCATGGAGGCAGAAGTAAACTCATTAGTTGGGTTAAACTTTAGGGGCCAGAGCTAAAGAGCTATTTTAAACAAACAGGGTTGGATCAGGGACATTGTTAAAAGAAAGGGAACTGCTATGAAAGGATAAACATTTATCCTTGATCTTGGAAAAATCTGTTTGGCAACAAGGAAACAACAAGCTCATTTACTTCTGGTCTTCCTCAGCAGATGGAGTATCAATTATTATTATTATGGGATTGAAATTACTATTTAGTGATCAATTGTTGAAATGAGAGTATGAAGGAATGAAGAGAGGAAAGAATGAGTGAGATTAATGCTATGGATACACTTACTTCACTAATGGAAAGACATTTAATTGGATTGTTTTTTGAATAGGAAGGAACTACTTAACTTTGCTCATGTATCCTGTAACTGAGCAGCAGAGTGATGCATCACATAAAACAGTATATTAACTTTGTACTCTATCCAGGATTCAGGATACCTTACTCAAGTAAAAGTACGTAAGTATTATCAGAAAAGTTGACTTAAAGCCCCTTTTAGGGTTCAACTATGTATATTTTACATTTTACTGCTGTAGATGTTTGAGGTTGAGCTAATTTGAACTACTTTATATACTGTTGGGTAGTTTCATCTACAGCAATGTATCATATTCTATAAGATCACCATATGTTTGTAGTGTGCTGAACCACTTATCTCTCTCTTGTTAATCCATATAATAATATTCTCACTCCATTCAGGAACACTTGAATACCTATAAGTACATTCCACCACTGCCAGCTTTACATTGTTATGAAAAATATGCAAAACTATTCTTCACTTCCAAGATCAGGTATCCTAATATAAGATCAGAGCTCATTTTGAAGGAGTTACATACAGAGTGAAGGGGACAACAAGTCTGAGTCTCCTTTCTGACTTTAAGGTCTGCTTTAATCTGTACTGACACCTGAAACAATGAATTGGTAGAAGTTACTGTATCTACACTCAAAGCTTCTTTTATTTGTTTTACTATCACTATTATTATTATATTATATTAGTTTTGTTTTTCTTTATTGTTGTTAACATTGATTTATTTTATGTTTTTGTCTTCACTGAATGTTTGTTGTATGTTGTCCACGGTTGCATTGATTATGCAGCCTGGGTGTTTACAAAAAGATGGGACAGTGATGTCTTTATAAACATGAGATATAATAACATTTGTTAAAATATCAATAAAAAAAAGGAAAAATAATTATGTATACATATATATTTTTATGTATAGAGATAGAGAGAGAGTTTAATCCAACCAGTGACATTATTTTATCTGCAGCAGCTCTGCTTTTGAGTACCGTTACATGATTCAAACACTGATCTGCCGTCCTATCAGGAAGAGATCACAGTTCATCAAAGAGGCCTACGCTCATTCAATTTCTTCTTGTTTTGATAAACATTCTCACTACTCCATTGTACGGTGCTGGAGGGGAGGGGGGAGGAGGGGAGGAGGGGAGGAGGGGAGGAGGGGCTGTCTGTGTGCCTGGCCGGCCTTGAATTCTTCCTTTCACAGGTGGAACAATGAAAAGGCTTCCCTCTTTTTTTTTTTTTTTGAATGAGTCACCGGGCTGATAGGATCACACGTGTTTACATTGCTCCAGCCTTGGCCCAAACTGTACCTCACGTTGCTTTTCTGAAGCTAATCAAGGAAATTGCTGTTTGTAAACCTCCTCGTATCAACATCTGGGAGCAGTCCCCTCTCCCTCCAAACCAAAACGGCTTAAAGTAAGAAAAAGAGAAACAAATACTGAAGCATGGCACACACAAAAATGCATGCATGCAGAGCCAGCCACCCACACACACGCACACACACACACACACACACACACACACACACACACACACACACACACACACACACACACACACACACACACACACACACACACACACACACACACAAAACACATGCTGCATTTGTGATCCATTCCTCTGCTGAACAGGCAATGGAAACTTCTGCAAATGTAAATCTGCTGGGTTAAAAATACAGCGCATTAATGTGCACCACATGTGGCACTCTGGCAGGATGGAGGATATTTTGACGGCGGGGGGAGAGAGAGGGAGAGAAGGAGAGAGGGAAGAGGGAGGCAGTTCTGGGGTTTCTCCAACAACGGAGAGGGAGACACACACACACACACACACACACACACGCACAGCTGGACTGAGACGACACCGCACCGATTCCAGAACTCCTCCTTTTTTACCTTGAGCCTTTTCCACGAACACCACCTTGGAGTCGTGCTGGAAGTTGTGTCCGTCGAGCAGCATCCTCTCCCCTCCGGGGGCGGGACACGTCTCCAGGCTTTGCTTATCCACCAGCGGCAGCTCCTGGGCCGATCTCTGGGCTGTGGGAGGGAGGAGAGAGAGAAAAAACCGACCTCATCGTTCAGCTAATACACACCCACTCCCCATGCAGACCTGAGCATCCAGACTGAATCACTACCTAGAGAGCTTTCACAGAGCTGCCGGTGAAAAGCTGTAAACCTCAACCTCTTTGTGTTAGAATTAAGCTGCTTCTTTGCCAGTAAGTAGGGAGAGGCTCCATGCTGTGTTTATTTGTGTTTTCCTCAAATTATGGTGGATGTTTTGTCTCAAATATTTGGTTTGAGAGGATCTTTCCTCTCCTCGTCTTTCTTACTCCTCTCTCTTACCTTTTGGCCGGCGCAGTCTCATTCCTCGCTCGCTTTCAGTTTTCTGGAAATGATATACTATGTGCCATGAAATATTTTGCAAGCATTATTTGTCTAAATGCAATGCTGATGTCTTGGCCAGGTCTCTCTTGTTAATTTAATTGGGATTGAACGGGATGCATAAATAGAGCTTCAATAAAACCTGAAATAGTTTTTCTCATATGAGGATCATCTTTATGTAATTCGATGCTTCTGCTTTTCTGATTTTGATAAAACTCTAATTCTTTGGAAACCATCTTTCCCACATCTCTCTATTTCTCTCCCTCTGTCTGTCTGTCTGTCTGTCTGTCGTTCTGCCTCACTCACACACAAAGTGAATTTTGGTCAAAAACAATTGCTCTGTGGCAGTCGTTCAGAAACTAACAATGGTCTATTTCAAGGGGCTGAGATCATGGTTTAACTACTGTCTTTCATTTACCTCATAAGACTTAATCTCTATGGCAGCTCTCCGTGCCAGAACCACATGAAGTGGTTGATCTGCTTGACTTTATCCCAGTCTAGAGAAAGGTCAGCTCCAGTACAGCGCTGAGAGTCAATGGAGTTTATCGAGCAAGGCCTTCACAGCCTTTACACAGACAGATACGTGCAAATTAAAATGTGCCCGTCAATCACATGCATCAGTTACAGAGCTCCACTGATTACTATCTTTATCGCTTAATCTAATGCTTATCTTTTTATTAAGTGATTAATCATTTAGTCTATAAACTTTTACAAACTAGTGACAATAATCACATTGCCCACAGTCCACAGAGATTTCTTCTAATTGTTTGTTTAGTCCTAAAAACAGCCCAAAACCCAACAATATTTCCTTTACAGTGATAAAAGAAGAGAGAAAAACGGCAAATTCTCACATTTGAGAAGCTTTACATTTTTGGATTAATCGCATGTGTCATATGCTTATGAGTGATTTTCTTCCAACAACAAACCTGCACAGGTTACTCACAAGTCTTGTTTATTTTTGCAGGGACAGCACAATAACACACAATTAAAAGTAATTGCAGCAGTTAGCTAACATCTAATTTAATCACATCAGTATTGATAGTCTAGTAAAATGTTCATGTTGTCAGTGTTTGACTCTTATATAGGATGTTTTTGGATGAAAATTGCTGCTGCATTAATGTGTATGTTGAATTTTATTGCTGTAGATGTTTAAGGTCTGAACTCATTTTAACTACTTTATATACAGTTGGGTAGTTTCATCTACAGCAATGCGTCATATTCTATAAAATCATGATATGTGTGAACTATTTGAGAATTGTGTGTTATTCTAGATGTGTAGATTAAGATATATATCCCATATATCCACTTGTTTTTACATGTGTTTATATTTGGGCCACCAAAAATGTACTTTGGCCACCAAATGTAGGTGCTTTGTGGGGCCGGGGCTTAAAAATATTAGGGTCTATCCCTGGTTAGCGTCTTGTCTTGTATTTGCAAATTAACACTAAACCCAAAGTATAGCTGAGGCTGATGGGAACCAAAGTATTGCACAAACTAAAACCAAGCATGATAAAAAAAAAGTGAAGATTAGGAGAAAAAGAAACAAATGTAGTTTTGTATCCCATTAATCATCTTGCAACCACTAGAATATATCTTCTGACTCCTTGGATGGATCCCGACCACCATGTAAGTGGTCAATAAATCGACTAATCTAACCAGTTAATCACTGTTTAAGAGGCATTCTGGGACAGAGGAGTTTATGAGTCTGATATTTTCAAGGTAAAACAAACGAACTAAAATAAGAACTCACAGCACTCAATGGGGTTAGAAGCAGCCTGCAAGGACACCGTTCTCCCCGTGGGCTGGTTGATGTGAACTCGGAAGACCATCCGCACACGTGTGTTCTTGCGTCCGATGTCGGTCTCCCCCTTCCTCAGCTCGATGTCCGAGTTACGCAGCTTCAGGATCCCTGCGCAGTCGATCCTGTGTTTGTGGAGACACATGATGAGGAGCCTGAGTCCGTCTGTGCACGAGGCAAAGATCATGTGCATTGATGACACATATACTCTCACAGTTAATCAGGCTGAGATTTATACAGCAGTGCAGCCAAATCAAAAGTGATTTTCACTTTGGGCTCCATCAACACGGTCCTGAGGGAGGCTGCAGTCATGTCAGCAGAAGATTAACACCAGCACCCCCCTAGCAGAGCTTTTACACATCAGTGCACCCACTATTGGGTAAAAGTCAACCTCAATAGAAACAAACGACTGGTAACATTCATTACGTCTTATGATCCACAAGAGATGGATCCTAAAATACTGTTCTCCTTCCACAAATCTTGCAGCCATGAATTGGCTGTAATAATTTCTTTTTACAGTGTCAGAGTCTTCATCAGACACTTAATAAAAGCCCCCCCCCTCCTCCTCTTCCACACTCCTCTCTGTCTGCGCTGCACTCATCTAACTTTTTCATACTTAAATACCTCGAGCCTCTCCAAACGGTTTCTGGCAATTCCATTGCCGTGCTACTTGATGCCGCATTCCTCAAAGCCTAGTTAATGTCAACTTTTACACACATTTGAACACTCCCTAACATTCTTCTCGCCAGACACCAGGGTCTGCTTCGCTGGCGGAGTAATCAGGTGTTGATGCTAAGGACCCCAGCTGTTCAGCTCTCCGCCTACGCAGACAAGCTGAGTGCAAAACCACATAGTGGGGCGTCCGTTCAGTGCCTGAGAAAACGATTTGGACAGAAAGCACAATACCACGTAGAGAGTATTCCTTTTAACGCGATCATTTAATTTATTAATAGTTAATTGGAGTCATACCAAGTTGACCAACGCCATTTGTGGCTTCATATTAGCTTGAAGATCTAAACTGATGGTTGATTAATGATTTAATTTAACAGATGCCCCCTAAATCATCAGAAATATAATAATGCCTTTATTCTATACCACATAATAAAACATCTACTGTATATGTCACACTGTCAAAACTAAATAAATCTTCCACAAATCCCTAGTCTACACTGTAAGTACTCTGAGACGAGTCCTCCATGAGAAAAGAGCAACTATATCCCGAGGTGAAGTCGTTGTATAACGGGAGCTTATGTGTTACATCCATTAAAACGCAGAGAAAGTGCTGATGCTAGCAGGCTGCTACTGCCTGCAGCTCAGACAGAAACCCCAGGTCCCTGTTAGCAGCCCAGAGCTTCCCCAGTAATCTGATCTCTGAGGCTTATAAAATGGGAAAGCCACCCGTCTGTGTACAGAGGGCAACACTTTCACAACCAAAACACACAAAAAGACACACACAGAATACTGTACAGGAACAAACTTCATATATCCAGGTAGCTTTTTCAGAGAAGCAGCAATCTAACATGTTTTGATAGGGTTTCATTAGACCAAAAGGAACAAAAATTCTCCCTGCAGAGGTCTGGAAGGATCCCTCAGCTGAATTAAAACTCCTTAAAGTTGAACTTTTATGTGACAACAGAGATACACATCTTTGCAGAGCAGCTGGTGTTTACTGGGTGTTGTGGGCATACTGTGAAGCATCAGATGCTCACTATATCATGGCAGGAGTTATTTTCAAAGGACCAGTGTATAGGATCTAGTTGCAGATTGCAACTCCCTTGCTTCACCCTCCCCTTCGAAGCACAAAGGTGGCTGCGTAATGTTCGAAAAACCTGAAAACCCCTATCAAGAGGAAGCGTTGTGGCCTCCATCCATCCAGATAAAAACGGCTCATTCAAAGTTTTTTTTTTAAGCTTGTTTTTTAGGTGATTATACACTAAAGAAAACATACCTTTAAACATTATATTACATTTCTGCAACTAGCTCCTGCCATTTAAAGCTAGTTTGAACAAGTCCAAGTCATTGTTAACCAAGTTATGACTGGATTAGGACTTGTTTTAAGAAACAACAACATAGCTTTGAAAGGAAGATGAAAGGTCAGTATTCACATATGAAAAACTTATTTATGGAGACTTTAGACTTAACTTTGACTTAAGGACTCGTCTTGACTTAGTTGTTTCTTGACTTGGACTTGTCTCTAATGATTTCAAACTGAAAGTGGATTCTGACTTATCTCAAATAATTTGAGACTTGACTTGGGCTTGCCTTAAAACACTGACATATATCTCTAGGTGTCAAAAAAGTTTAATTTTTCAACTGGATTTAGCAACTTTTAACCGACACAGCAATTCCAAATCTCAAGTCATGTCCATGTTGATGCTGGATTGAATCAAGACTTGACATCCAAGACAAGTCTGAAATTACTTGAGGCTTGAAGAGAAATACCTCAAAATGCAAAAAAAGTTAAATTTCCCCCTAATTCAGCCCAGTTGTAGAAGATATTTTAACCTACACGTCAGCCAAAACAAACCTCCCAGGATAGGTACGACCCCTCATACTCACATGGCCCGCATGTTGTTCTCTGGCAGCAGTGGGATCTCCAGGACCTTGGTGTTGTTGTGCAGGGCCTCGTGGCTCGGGGTGGACACTGTCTTCCCGGTGATACGGTGGACCTGGTAGAAGGCGTGGGGTCTCAGCAGCCTATCATCGGCTGTGCCAATGAACAGCTGCAGGGTCAGAGGCTCGCTCTCCATGTAGCCGTGGAGCTGAGAGCGGAGGAAGAAAGAAAAGACACAGTTGTGGTTAAGCCCTTATGTCCTTTCCAAAAAAAAAGAAAAGAAAAGCATCCATGTGCATGCTGTTGAAACAAATGTAGGTCTTTTAGAGGTCAGCCTCTCAGCATGATGGTTTTCAAACAAAGTACCCATTTAGGATCTTGTAATCACCCTTTTCATCTTCTTTAATTTACTACCAACAGCCTGTATACACTTCCTCCATCAGTACACGTCAGGCCTGCCAAGATGTTGATCCCACAGTAGCCGAATCTCAGGGGCAGCCGCTGCCAGAGAGCAGTAAAAACCACCTACAGCGAGCAGCATTGTGATTTGTGAGCGCTGCGTTTTCCTTGTGACAAGACTAAGCTAGTGTTTCAGGAAAGTCAAGGTCATGTCAATCCCACCAAGCTGCAGCCAATCAGGGTCAAGAAACGCTCTCAGTAGTGACCCTGCTCTGATTTTGATCAGTAAAACGATCCCAGCATGATGGAGATGGAGACAGCACAGAAGTGCTTCTCGCTGTAGTTGGTGGGCTCGACCAAGAGTTTCTAAAGTACTCCCAGACCTCCATAGGTGTTGCTTGAGAGGAGGCCTCCTGCCAGGATGACCTCAACCACCCAAACTGCAGAATGCAGGCATGAAGCCCAAACCCACAGGCTGTAATATGAGAACTGCAGCTACTACTGACACACTGTCTGAGAGTTATGTATGTTATCCATACAGTGTGACGGGAGAGGAATTAGAGCAGAATATTTGGCATTTTGACATCAAAACAACTGAAAGAAACACAATGTGTAGAACAAGAAATTACAAGGAGCCAGGGAATAGGAATGTACTAAATAATATAAGGCATTAAATGTATAGATCATATAGACAAACTGTTTATATCTAATGCTGTTTTAGAGGTTAAATACATATTTTTCCTCATGTGCAAACTACAGCAAAGATGGTGAAGCATTTTGTGTTGAATTTGTGAAGTAGTTTCACAGCGTTCTTGTTGGACAACAGTGAAAATGTCATTAATCACCAGGTATGTGAGCAAAAACACGTGTTTTAAGAGATGAAATGTGACTTTGCTGATATTGTCAACCAGACATAACTAACCCGATCAACATTTTCATCTTCCAACACAATAAATATGTTTTAGTGTTCCAAAACATCCCACCATGTCAGAAATTTATGTATTTCAGCTTCAAATTTCAAGTTATTGCATATTATTCCTACATTTGTCAGCCAAAACATAACAAGTGGACGTGTCTGGCAAAACAGGCTAAAATCTTTCTATCCTTTTCAATAAAATTGAGCAATTCTGCTGCACTGATTTTGCTGAAATGCTGCCAATTATCAGGTCTGAATCAGAGGAACTAACATTGTTGGCCGGTCGGGGTGAATTAATATTATTCATCCATCTATGTTAAGTTAATAATAACTTGAATACTACATGTAATCGCAAAACTTAGGGAATACATTAACCGTAACATATATAAAAATTGAAATTGAAATAATGAGACCTCAAAACTGTCATGAGTAGGCAAGAAAAATTGGCAATATGTGCACTTCACCATCCACAGACCCTGTCAAAGTGTTACGGAGGCAGATACTGAACCCCACCTAATTACACACCGCTGTGGATAAGATCGGCAGGGAAATGTTGAAATGAAGACCACAGTTTTCACTTTCACAAGAAGAACACTCGAGGCGAGGAGTGCCCACAATGAGAGTGAAAGGCTCAGACAGGGGAGGCACAACATGTGATTTGGAGGAGGATCCCTGTCAGGGTTAAGAGCCTGCAAAAGCCCTGTATATTTGTGTAAGGAAATGGGTTGCTGCCTAGCAATGCTGTTTATTTAGGCAGCAGGAAGGAGTGTGATGAAGTGAGGTAGCCCGTTCACAAGGTTACTTTCAAACTGTAATTACTAACAGATTACTGATTATCTCCTTTGAATTATTATCAGCATAAAATGCATGCAAATAGAAATAATCAAACTTGATAATTTCAGCTGAAAGATTTTACGTTTTAAAGAGTATTCCTGCGTAGAGACATTTGTGTTTATGGAAGCATTTATCATCTTTCATTTTAAAGTAGCAATCTTGAAATAAAGAAACCTTTCCTGTTCCTTTTTTTCTTTCACTCTGTGATCTGAATCATCCGTTTCATAAAGCAGCTGCAGGAGACAACAGTTATGATTTGTTGATGCAATTAAATCAGTGCGATACCACTTGGTATAAACCCTTCACTCCTCCACCCTGATAGTTTGACATTGGCAATACAGCCACCCCTCCCTAGCTCACATTATCACCCACAAGAGGAATGCCGAGACTCCGGCTGCTCAAGGCACCAAAGAGGAGGAGAAAGGGGTGAGGGCAACTGGGGCTCCCTCTCCATTCCTGTCACAGACCCTCCCAACTCTGAAAGGATGATCACAAACACACAAACATATGGACTGTTTCGTCGAGGGAGGGATAGCTCAGTGTGACCATCCTGTCACGCTTTTTTGCTTCACATGATATTTGTTAATTACACTTTGTTTGAAAATCTAAATTCAATCAACAAGGATCAAGGCCAAGAAAAAGGCACATGACTCCAAAAAGAAAAATGCACTTCATATCAGCTCTCTGGAAGTGTTTTTTAAGCCATAAGCAGATCATGAAAGCTGACTTCAGACAGGAAAAAAAAAAAGAAGACCTCACAGCCTGGAATAGGGGGTATTTCCTCTCCACCAAAGTACAGCATGAAACCCTGAGCATTAACTGCGGTGAGGACTGCACACAGCACTTCAGAGGAGCATACTTCAGTCTGCTGCTGGCGTAAGGGCGGGTGTGGTTGAGGCAGGCAGGCAGCGATGGCATTGAAAAAGAACAGAAAATAGCTGGCTTAGCTGTGCTCAGTGCTGGACGTGGAGAAAAAGTGTACCACACAGAACAGGACCGTCCAGAATAAACTCAGTGATGTCTGGGCAGAGGAGTGACGGGACGAGCCACAGAGGCTTCGTCAGCCAGCGTCCGCAGCAGAGGCTGCAGCGCTGTGTGTAACATGTAATCAGGAAGTCACAGAGATGGGGCTGCCTTTTCTGAGGCTCCTTCCAACATCTCCATCAGAGCCTGCCAGAAACGTGTGTGGTTTAAGCCGCTGCCGCCTCCGCAGGACGCAGCGCGCGATGATGTCAGCCGTACACACGGGAACTTTCCTAAACAAAGGGAAGTCTGTGTGGTTGGGGTGGTAGCTGGCGGAAAAGTAGGGGGGGAGGTTTGGGTTTAGGTTTAAAGAGAACACACACTCTCTTTTTTCAGCTCGGGTGAACCCAGACCCCTTTCATTAAATCATTAGCACCTTCCCATGGACAAATACACGCGTCCTGCACAGATGTGTGGCTGAAGTTGCTGGATGGTAAAACATGTTTTCATTTCCAAATGTCTTATTCCACTGCTGAATACAAATATAATATTTCTGTTTCCTTATTCCAAAGCTGCTTCCTCAATGAAAAATGTCTCACAACACTGTTAAATTGAACTTTAAAGCATTTTGAATAATGGCTCGTTAGAGACACAATGATCTTTCTGTGAGGCGAAAGTCGAGCAATACTTAACTATTATCATATATACTGTTTTTGCAGTTAGTATAAAAAGGATCAATATGATCATTTTTTAACCATTTTGTTGGGCCATTGTTATATATAAATATCAATATTGGTATCTGCCTCATTAATGCATAATGTCTCAGGTATTAAACTTGCATTAACACGTTTTCTTGGCCACTTGGGAAAAGTGCAACAAGCTAAAAACACACACATTATCACCTTATGGAGTTTATATACTGTACATGTACCATGTATGTCACTTATTTACACATCAGAGCACACAGAGCAACATTAGCATCATGGTGATTGTGTTTTAGTCCAATATTAATTCTCTTTTAGCTCTGTCTTTGGTCTCTACCAACTCTAACGAAATCTTTCTCTTTCGCTGCTAAATGCTCCAATATGTTCACTGCTAGTTGCAAGCTTTCTCTCTCACGTTGGGCAGGAAGTTTACTACTATACTGGTGAGTACACTTGAACACACCACTTTCTTAAAATCTGCTTAGAGTTAGTATGTAATATGGAACTGGGACACAACTTGAAGTCCTTAAAATGGCTGCTTAGCACTGTTAGCATTCCCCATTCAAACTAAAGGGCAGGATTAGCTAACTGCTCCTCTGTAGTTGTTTCACGCCAAAAAGACATTTTTATCAAAACTGAAAGGCAAACACAGAAAAACTCTGCCCTCATATGTGACGAATGTCTGGTAAACTTGTAGACGTATTGTAATGTATTAATAAAATGTCAAAAGGTATTAATTAAACTGACAGCCCCGCTCAGCACTCACTTTGCCCGACTCTTTGCTGCAAACCCTTTTATTTATTCAGAGACTGAGGTCAGCGGTGCGGAGTAATGGTTGGGGGACCAGATGGGTTTATAACCAAAACATATCTGCAGTTGTCCACATTTCTTTTTCTTCAGACTCGACCACCAGAGCTACTGTGGTTAAAGCTCATGACTAAGCTCTTACTGGCCATGCTACATCACTTTGTAACTGTCTGTGCTGCACTAAAGAACGCAATGGAAAAGTCTGAGTCACCCTTGTCTGGACAGGAACTGACTGAGTGGACTGGTCTGTCTAATAGCATACCTATGGTATTCCATTCAGAAATGTGACATTTTTGAATAACATAACAGCCGGACCACGAAACACGTCGTCCCGATCTATTTTAACAAATGAGGTTAAAAAAAAAGACGAGGGGGGGAAAGTGTTGGAGTGAAAATGAGTCTGATGCCTGCACCGTGTGTTGGTCTAATCATCACAGGAAACCAAACAGTCTAGCTCAGTGGTTCTCACCATATGGTTTTGGCCTCCCTGGTGGGTCACAAGATAAATCTGAGTGACGAACGTGAAAATTATGCTTTTTTTGGGTATTTGATTATTTTACTTCTAAAACTTCCTATGACACAGTCTAAAGGAGGGAAAATCAGTCTTTGGCTTGAGTGCTCGAAGCTTGTAGAAATATGCAACTTGTGATAAGGAGACTTTGTTTGGAGATGTCACAAGACAAGAAAGTTAAGAAGCACTGGTTTAACAGACCTGAACGATAGGGTGTCCTCCTGCCAGGGCCTTCACCGCTCCCCTGCTGCCCTCCGTCTCATAGTGAGCTCGGTGGTGGGATTTGGGCTGCACTTCGATCTGCAGGCTGTACGGCCCCGAGCTGGATGGCAGCTGCCAGTCGAGAGCTGGCAGGGATGGGCTGTCAGGGCAAAAACATGTCCAACATGTCAACTTAACAAGGAGGAAGGAGGGCTTATTTTAGACACACTTATCAAGGTAGAATGTGCAGAATGTGAACACTGTGATATGCCAGACGTTGTTATAAACCTGTTATTACAAATATGTTTAAACTTGTCAGTAAATATTGACACTAAGTGCATGTATGGATATTTCTCACTAATTGTTCAGGTTTATATTTTAATGAATCTTGTGCTCATTAAAAGCTGTTTCTAGATCACTTAAATCGTAATTCCTTCCTTACCTGACATATTGCTTTGGCTTGGACCAGGAGTACGGTTGTTGTGGCACATCCAGAAACCCACCACAGTAGCCCTCCTTCTTTAACGGAAGGCGGTTCGAGGGGTGATCGTCCAGACAGAGCTCCCCTGGACTCAGCTCCTCGCCTCCGGGCTCCACCTTCAGGCTGACTGAGGGGTTGTGCTCCTGGCTGGTTTTCCGGGCCTTCATGGGGATTCCTTCCCCGAGGTCAGCCACTCCATCTGTGGTCAAAGCGTTGATGGCTGCCAGGATGGCTGAGTTGGTGTACTGGTTGGTGTTTGGCAGCCAGGTCTCCTCGGTGACGCTGATGCGAGGGGAAATCTGCGGGGATGGTCCAGGGGAGTGGTTGGGTGAGTATGGGAAGTGCTTATGCGGTGCCCCGCTGCCGTTGAAGCTGTACTTCCTCTTCGCACCACAAGGGGAGTTGGGCCTGGAGCCACGCTGACCAATCCAGTTGTCATCTGTCAAACTTGTGCGAGGGGAGGTGGAGGGGGAGTGGCGAGGGGAGCCACCAGAAGTGCAGCCATCACCTGGCAGAGCGAGGGTGGAGCCCTTGGGGGACACAGAGGGTGACTGCCAGGGGGAGTTCTGGGGCGAGTTGTCGTAGTTGTAGGAGAAGCCTGATTCATAGGAGGAGGCCTCAGAGTGGCAGCTGCGAGATGAGATGCTGCTGGCCGGACTCAGGCAGCTGGGGTCGCGGTATCCATCTGCACTGGGGAGGGTCAGTGTCACTATGGAGTTGACTCGCTTGGCAACAGGAAGGTTGCTCTCCTCCACCTCATCCTCAGGAAACTGGCCGTAGGCTGTGATCTCAATGCGAGGGCTCTCCAGGGTCGGGGCTCCGTTCGGGCGGACGCTGGAGGATGAATAGTAGCCGGCCGCCCTCATGTCATCCTGGGTGTCATAACTGTGAGGCTCGCTGACAGAGACAGATATAGTGGGGCTGGACTGGAGGCTGTGGTACTGGGAGGGAAGACAAGGGTTGCCCAGTGGGAGGGAGAGACTGACATTTGGCGTGTAGCCATATGCATCTGGAAAGCAAACAGATTAAGTTTGTTACCATGATAATCAAACACACATTCACTGGCTCCCTTACTGAGAGGGAGACAGTTGCCAAGATGAGTCTTACGAGAGTTGTTGCCTATAATGGCAAAAGAACAGCTTGCCTACCAGATTTGGCCCTGGCTATTTCCTGATGCTGAAGGTATACAAGTTAAAACTATGCTTATGCCTCATCTGCAGGGGATCCCCAAACACACTGAGGCAGCGACACAAAACATCTCTGAATGGCTCAATTTGTACAAAGCAAAGGTGAGAAACAGGAATAAAGGAGCCAAAAATAACGGCAGACTATAAATAACCAAAGGCTAGACCAGGTGTTTTTTTCCACTTCACAGTGCCAGATTTATGCCACTTAATGCACATGCTGCAGCCCATAAACTGTAACATCATGCAAACACACACTGATGCTTTTGTTGGCCAGTTTCATGTTCCAACAGCCATCGAAAATAAACACGGGAGCAACATGATTCGTGTATTTGCATGCTGTAAAGCTGAGGGCTGTGCCCAGCCTGGGGAAGCTCATGGTCTCGTGCCAACACTCCCGCTGGGTCATATGAAACTCTGCCTGTCTGTGGGGAAGGCTGAGGTCACAACCAGGGGGCAGAGGAGGGGGAACATGGGAACCGGGAGTTGTGGTTATATGGTGCATGAAGCTGACTGAATGTGACCACAGTGGAGCGCATTGATACGGACGGAGGCGGCCACTGCAGACAGACAGATGCAGTCAGACAGCCTGCACTCACCACAGCTCCTGTCTGCTGTAAATTAAAGAGAATTAGGGGCCCCATCATAAAGACTATGACATCAGTGCAGCACCATATGACTCCTTGTAATAAAAGAAAATTGTGCTTACATTTAATGCTGCTTGCGGTGTGTGACACAGTAGCACTGAAATGTTTGTTTTCTATAATTAGACTGCAGTGAATTAGCTGACATCCTAACAGGTAGCCCGAGGCTCCGCGCCATCCAATGAATCTGCTGAATACTGGCATCTGAATCACCCACAATGTTACCCACAATGCCATGTCAGTCATTAGCGCAGGTTCAATTCTGACTATTTTGGGAGCACTTTTTAAGTCATGAGAGCCTCACAGGAGCAGAACCACGCCCACCTTGCACAAATCAGCAGGGAGGGGCGCACACTGAATATCTCCACCGCTGCTTTAATGCTGTCACTGACTGCTATCCACTGAGGCTCAATACAGCCATTCAGTTGGGAGGAAAAGCGCTGCCAAGAGCCTAATTCAATATAACATCACAGTTTACTGTATCGCATCCGAGCGTAAAGTGTCAAACACTGATGTAAAGTTGAATAAATGACACTTTAATGGCTTTACTGTATGGGGATGAGAAGGAATGCCTACTGAAATAAATAAAAGTCTAAACTTACCCTCTTCAGCAGATTTCATTTTCTTCTTGGCGCAGGGAGCAACGTCTGAGATCAAACTCTGAGTACAGCTGCAGATGGGAGCGATTCCGTATCCATATAGCGGAGTTTATATAGTCCCCAGCTGTTGCTCAGGATCCTCTCTCGCTGTGTCGCCGCGAACAAACAACGAGAATGAGAAATAACAAAAGTCAATAAAGGCTTAGTTGGAGAAAAAAAAAGCTGTTACTAAAAAAAAAAAAAAACGAGGGAAGAGTCGCATCCAAAACGAAAAAAAGAGACGAATATTAAAATATGTGGAATAAGATCATGACCGGTTCGGTCGTGTTGTCTTATAAAAGCTATTTTCGTCGCTGTGTGGAGATATCGGACTCTGTGTCGGGGGATCCTGACTCTGCTGGGTCGCTGTGACGCACTGCTCCGGCGCACAGAGGACTTCTGCGCTTTTAAAGTCGGGGATCACCTCGGCGGCGGCGCACCGCCCCTCCGCGCTCTGACGCATCCATACGTCCCACCACCAGATGGGTCCAGTGGAGATCCTCTCTCACTCTGGGGTTTCCAGAGGCATAGGAGGCCAATTAGCAAAGCTGGCAGTGAAGGCTCCGAGATGAGTCAAATAAGCCCCACCATGGGAGAGCCAAACGCAAACCTCCAGTGATTGGAAAAAAACAACTTACACAGCGCCTGCTAGAGCTAATCCAGCAGAATGTGAGCCAGGGTGAACATCCTTCTGCATACAAACAGTGGATAACTGGAGTTTAAAATGACACAGCACAGCCATAAAACACGATGATTTGTTGGGTGACAGATGTTAAATGAAACTCGTACTACGTCCCTATGATCCATGACTGACTTAATGAGCATGAACAGCATTAATCTACAGTTTCCACCCATTTTATCTACAGTATCTGTTCCCCTTGGCATCATTTACAAAGGAGTCATCAATGCGTTGCTGCAAGACACTGCACATGGAATCTCCTAAATCAAGATTTATGTGCAGACTAATCCTCACGAGCATTTTACATTAAACTGCTGCCATTTTCACCCTGAAAGAGCCATTCATCAACCGGTTACAGCAGACGGATGTTCGGTTAAAGGCTGCTGGGTTGTCAGATTGCAGCTGGAGCAGCAGCAGATAAAAGAACAGGTGAGCTGAGGCAAACATGCCAGAACGTATAGCTCAGGTGCTGCTTCATGAGACATATATATACTGTATATAACATAAAACTTCCTTCAGATGTTGTATGGGGCGTCTCATGGGGTTTTGAAGTTATTGCAAAGGCAAATAATTGCTTTTCCACTTCCTCCTGACAGACTGCACGTCTGCGGAGCACAAAACACATAATTATCCATACTTGCATAGAAGTACTATATAAAAATCAAGTCTTACCCAGTCATTTGACACGCTGAACTGAGAGTCTTCATAGAGTTTTTCATAGGCCGCTCTCTGCGGTCGGTGTATACTTATTCAGCTTCTCTCTCCTCAGTGCATCCAGTCCCATGCAGGCAGGGTTGTTGCTATCTTTGGCAGGTCTGGATCTTTCAGCAGCTGGCAGCAAACCCGTGGTTTCTGTGATGACAATAGTCACATGGTGCCTCTCTCTAAGCGTTTGTCCATCCCTGGAGGTGGGAAACTACATTACTGCACTACAGCATCTTATCAGCTGGCCCTAGTTGGAGTGATCCTCAGTGGTGTCACCGCCACTCTCAGCCAGGGAGAGTTAAGATGTGTCTTCATTTAAAGGTCATAACTCCTTGTTTTTATTATAACTTCAGTGTCCAAAAATAATGTATTTGCAGCAAAATATCTTCCCTCTTGTGTGGTCATTTTGTGGTTTGCTTCTTCACATGCTTTACATTCTCTTCTCAGTGAATTGGGAAAATAACATGGCTCAATATAGACAAGCAGATTCCTGCAGAATCAACACCTCAAAGTATCATTTTTTGTCAATGCAGACTTTTTTGTGTGTGACTTATTTGTCACCTTGCCTTACACAGCAAAACTTACTGACAGGTGCCACAGCATCGTTGCTGAAGGCACTGATTGAGGAAAACAAAGAGAAAGATACCACGACTGAGAGTCTACAGCCATGTTAGCGGCACTGTGAGGCTGCTAACATTTGCCAGCACTAAACACAAAGTACAGCTCAGGATGATAATGTCATTCGTTTTACAGGTATTTGATGAACCAAAGTATTGGACAAATTAAACAAAAGATGAAAAGTTATAAAAAATTGTCATTTGGACGACATGGATGTGTTCACCGATCAGTCTAATAGTTATTTAAACAGTTTACTTCAGACCAGAGATCTCAACTTAATGGTGGAGCTAGAGGAAAAGTCAGAAGATCATCAAAATCAGTACGTTTATCCTTTGAGGCACCGCTGATATATGTTCAAAATGTTTTTTAGATGTTTCAGTCTGGATTAAAGTAGTGAAGCGACAGACAGACGTTCCCAGAGCCAGACAACTATTGTGGCTAAAAAGCCATACATTGATATTAGGAGGACTCAAAATACATTTTATAGTTTAACCTAAAGGCAGCTTTCAGTGTCTCTCATTGGATAATACTGTGGAAATGCAACTGTAATGTAAGATGTAGATGCATCTCTTTTTTACAAAACGGACTGCAACAAATCTCTTATTCGTTACTTGTTACTGTGTCTGGATCCGGCTGCACTACTGTCTTCAAACCCTTTCCTTCCTCTGACTTGGATTTTAGTGATTGGTTGTAGAGAAGCAGTTTTAGAAATCAGCTCTTAATCCATATTTGTCTCTATTGTGAAACAACATGGCATGCGTGCCCCACATCCAAAGCAACATTCCCTCTTCACCCATTGGGATCTTATTTGGACAGAGCCCCCCCCCAACAGAGTATCTGAGGGAGTGACGGCACTTGTGAAATCCTAGCTGTCTGTTTCATCATGGGGACGTGGCTCGGTGGCTCCCCAGTCATTTGAAGAACCCCCTTTGACTTCATGGAAATCTCTCATGGGACTGAGGATCTAATTGGGGCAAAAGAGACGGGAGGTGGGGCCGGTGGGGAGGGGGGGCTTAGGTTGCTACTCCACAGTTATGTGTAACTGAAACATGTGCTGCAGTAAACACTTCCACCCGTCTGCAGTTAATAAATAGCTCTGCTGCTGATTGAATCGTGGACCCTTCTACGTCAGAGCAGCGGCTGGGGCTCGTAGTTTTTCCAGCCGGGCCTGGTGCTGGTTAGTGGACACCTTGGTAATAGGCCGCTGTAGACCGGATGGATCCAGAGCCACAACTGAAAAGAAGAGAACAATAGATAATGAGAAACGTCCCGCGTTGATAATGTAGACACGGCACAGTGAACAGGAGACTCACTTTGATATCAACAAGCTGCTTTTTCACTACTGAAACTGGAGACACTGAATGTATTTAATACCAGAGCTGTTTTTAATTCTCATTTGAACATTTTCGATTTAAAGTACTTTCCTGCTTTTTAATCTATAGGCCTAATAATTTAATATCTGCCTCTTTAAGTCCTGCTTCTCACTGTCAAAATTGGAGGCTTAAATGATTTTGGTTTAAAGTCTTAGGTCCTTATTTTTGTGACTTCAAGCTGCACAAATCAATACCGTTATATTAACAATGGATTAGATGACTGATGAGATGGTGTTATATGAAAGGGTTCACTTGTTGTGATGAACACAACAAAAGAATAATCACTCAACTCTGGAGCTGTGCTGTGTTTTTAGCATCTTTCAGCTCATTTTTTACAGCCAAAACTTTACTGTTTTGGTTCAGTCTGACTGCTGTTTTAAGCTCTGAAGGCACTGTACACGACCTGCTCACCACCAAACATCAGAACGACAAAGTTAAAGACTAAGTGGTGAGCATTTAGTGGAGCATTTACCAGCTAAAGACTCAGTGGTTGGTGCAGAGTAGTACACAATGTCCATGGGGTGTCCTGAAAAAAAGACTCCATGTGAAGGCTAATGTTGCTCCGTGTCTACTGGATGTGGAAACAGGCAAATGTTTGCAAACAAGTTCTCCATATCACCTTAAAAATTTATTTTTAACAGTCAAATTAATTGAGAAGCAGTTCCCTTCATGGTTTAAAGTTCAAAGTTTGCCTGTGTAACCACGCCCAACAGCGATGTCACAGTGTACTGACACACCCTGGAGTACAGGTCGGCATCGCTGAAGCAAAGCGAGGAAGTTCAACCATTAGAGGACGGCAAAAAGAAGATTTTCAGCTGCTGTTAAGTTGGTCTTCAATACAAAGACTGGCTTTCACATACAGTACTGGTTTAAAGGCAGTGATACAGAGGGCAATTGTTGGGCAACTTGGATGGGAGTTGGCTCAGAGTTGTCACTTTAATCCCATAGGAACATCTTGTTACCAGGAAACAAGTGAACAGACCCTGTGGCACACTTTTTTTTTTTTTGCCTGTAATTATTGCCAAAGTGCATCTATTTAACTAAAAGATTTAAGATGGTTTACATATGAAAGAGCTTTTGCCATTTGTTTACAGTGAGACCTTCACACTGTGCCAATGTGTGACCTTCGCTGTGAGCTAACAGCGCAGCTTAGTGAGGACAACACAAACACAAAACAACATACTGTACAGAGCTCCTTTATGTTGCAATCTCTTTTGACTAATGAGTGACACAATCACATTGCTAATTTAATCAGGCTGTAGATCATCTGGTGTCCAGGAAACATTTAAATACATTTTTGACCCCACGTCTCACTGGGATCCCCGGATGCCCAACTGCGTTTCCCTAAGTTTTGCCTGGTGTATCATCATTTTAAGAGTCTGGGAGGGGTAAAGCATCGGGAGGGGCGTTGGGGGTGGTCTCACCGTCACATGCCCACACATTTTTGTCGTCTGCCATCCCACATGCGGCCACTGCCAAAACTTTTTGAATTCTCAGCCCGGTATGACGTGGTTTGGCCACAACGAGGTGGAAAAGACCTCAACTCGCTTTTCTTTCCACAGCTCTAACCCTCAAAATCCAGTGCCTGGCTTTATTTGTGTCTGAACAAAAACACGACGGAACATTGGACAGTGCTGTAAGTTATTCATAAACTAAGAAACAACCGGCCCAAAAGGCTGGCTTTCCCACTGCTGAATCACCTGTTTGTTTTGGAAAAATGAATTGAAAGAAAAAAATATTACTGTACTTCTTTGTGTTTTTTAAGCCTGCTTCGCACACCCCTCTCACCATATGTGCACTCATGACTGCTATTTTATAAAGTGTTTCATGATGTCGAATAATAAAACATTATAAATAGTCTCCAAGACCACAAGTGGAGTTCAGACTGTGACCAGAAAACTGGTTTCTGGGGACATTAAGTAATCTGCTGCCTCTGTTGGCGACCAGTTAAGGATCTTTGTCACAGCTGGCTTGAAAAGAAAGGTAGTTAGAGCTGAGATCAGACAAAAATGTCTGGTGAAGACG